GGGCCTGCTTTTAAGGCCTGGTCAGTTTTTTTTTTCAAGGTCTTTTCAGACTCAAAATGTGGTCCTTGATATCACTTTCATTTCTGCATCTCTCTTCCTGTTCTGGTACTGCAACATTGCTACTGAAGCACGGTTTCCCAATTCACTGCTTCTGTTATTCTAGTTCTATAGGCTGTCATCATACTATTGAATAGACTTAGGCACAACACTTTAAGTTACATTTATTAGATGCAAAGAATGCATGTGACATATCGCGTAGGGTGGGCCGATCACATCAAGCCGCTATACCGGAATTTTACGAGCCGCCATCTTGGAAATTCCTTAACACATTGAAAATACATTATAACAAGGTTTTTTTACTGTGGTGTCCCAGCAGGACACTTTTAAATATGTGTGCACTTTGATTTTCTAATAAATCACATTATATTTGTATACTACACTGTGGCAAGAGTTTCTGTTTACATATGCGGAGCAGTTCAGGGATAAAGAGGAGACGGTAGCATTTGTAGCAGAGTGAGGAAGTAAGTGGCGTCATCTATGCAGTATACCTACCCAGGTTAAAAGGGAAAGGCGGTATTTGACCTATGCAATTTGGGTCATAAAAGGAGGTGAGAGTATATATGTTTGTCTCTGGTGGAGGAGCACATATAGGAGTATATGTTGATATAAGCAATAAAGAGCACCTGTTTGTGAACAAATTCTAAATGCACGGATCAAGCACACATTATGGACTTTTAAGTTGTATTCAGTGTATTCACTATTATTGCATAATCACATGGTCTGGATGCTTTAATTCATCTAAGAGGTTATAGAGATATATGCGCGGCACTATTATATGACAGATCTTTGAACCAAAATACACTGATAACACTATACATTCCCTTTAAACATTTATTTCAAATGATCCAAAAAGTCAGTGAGAAGGGCACCTAATGGAAAGCCCAGTAAAAAACCATTTGATGAATTGTTAGTCCAGTGTAGTTAGTCTGATTTCGGAATGTGCCAAAAGTGTTCTGGATGATATATATGTTTCACAAAGCTTCTTCTCCACCTTAGCTGCAAAGTCTAAATGTGAAAGACTCTCATCTCTGTATGCTGCAGCTTGTACCTCTAAGATGTTTCTGGTCTGGCACATTTTCACTGTAGTTCTGGCTGACTTTCAAGTTCAAAGTGAATTGCTTGAGTGATATTTTTGACCTCTACCAGTCTGTATAACAAATACTTGCAAGACAGACAGCTTTCTTTGCGACTTCCATATTTCTTTCTGACAACCGCTTTAATTAAAATACTGATTTATGCCACTGGTAAAGAATGAGCCAAAGTAGAATGGCATAATAATAATGGCTTTTTTTTATTTTTCATAATAGACTGTTGGATCAGTGCTTTTGTTTTCTAGGGCTATCGATTTAAGCATTTTACTCAGTGTTTTGAATAATTTGTTCTTGTATATTTCGTTTTTTTAAGTTGATATGGCCTGATATAAATATGTGCAAATATATTGTAGTAAAATGTTTTTGTGCTTGCTGGGAACTGCCTTTGTCCTTTTAATCCAAATGAGTTTCCCTAGAAAACCCAACACTCAGAATAATTAGTTGTCAGTGAACTCAGGCATGGGTGCTCTCTGGTAAGATAAAGGAAGGCATTATGTAAATTCTGGCATCTCTAGAATGTGTTTTCCAGTGCTGTAGTATATACTTCATGTCAGTAGGGAACCAGAGGATACCAGGTTTTATCTATTTTTATACAACTCTGATATATCTGATAACTCCCCATAGTAGTGTCCATTGGGACACATTCCTAGATTGTAAGCTCTAATGAGCAGGGCCCTCTATTTCCTCTTGTACCAAATTGTATTGTAACTGTAATGTCTATCTTCATTTTGTAAAGTGCTGCACAAACTGTTGTCACTATATAAATCCTGTATAATGATAATAATTACTGCAGCATATAGATATGAATTGGCCTCTGGTGTTTGACTAAAAGATTTGTGTCTCTGAAACTAAAGCAAGAGTTTGTTAAGAGGACATTTTAGATGCAAATAGTGATGCAAGGATTTTATCTTTCACCTTTATATCTAATATGTACATAGGGGTTTGCATTATTGCACAGATTGCTCATAGCCCAGAGTACAAAATACAGAGGGCACATATTGCAATATCCAAAAAGCAGTATAGAAGGCCCATAATCCAATATCCAAAACAATACAGAAGACCCATAATGTAAGCACTTGACAGCAACTGTGTTATGGCGTGTGTAGTACTACACCAGATTCTAGTATGAATAGCACATTGAAGAATTCTCATTCTTGTCTCCTACTGTGCAATGCAGAGTCTGTATTCCTTTTCTACATTATAACTCATTAGCTATATGCCAATATCCACTTCATTCATTTATTAATGGGTTTCAGTATAATAATTGGGACACCACCACCTCTTCCTCCTTCCACATGTAATTTATATCAAGCAGCTGGAGCAGAAAAGAACTCTTAATTGAATGCTGCTGTTATATTTCTCCATTTTTTCTGTGAGAGAAGTAGACAAGTGTACTGAGTTTACTTGGCCCTGCTGTGTCCAAATAGCCAGAAGAAAGGACCCTGAGGCTTATTATGGAGATTTACCTGTGGGTAATGATTTTGATGGTTAAAAATATTGAGGCTGGGAGGTTGATGGATGTCAATTAGACTGCAAGAGTGGCTCCAAAATCTGGCGCCACCTGTCGTGCCCAGCCTCAGAACAGTGTGCCCCCATTGTGTGCTGGATGTGTAGCTCTCAGTGCTAGCAGAACAGTTGCAAATAGTTTTACTTCTTTCTCTGCTGGAATGTTAGTTAACCATTTTATTTAATTTTCATGTATATTTTTTAATGCAAGCTTGTAGTGAGAAGACATTGCTGAACTCTTTCTTACAAAACGGTTGGCTCTTAGCTTGATCCAAAGGTTTTAGTACTTTTAAGTCACTAATCCAAAATAAGCATGCAGATCAGGAGCTTGGACTTTGTTTTATACCTGCTACACACTCAGCTAGGCAGCTAGTATTTCCAAAAAACGATAGCCTCTATATTTCTCTCAGTAAAGGATTCCTTTTAAGCTTCCTGGAACTGGTATGCTAGCAGAGATTATCAACAGTATATGCCCATCAATAAAATGTTGAGGTCCTACTTGTTTTTCCATTCTCCTCTTGTAAGGCGCCTAAAAACATCTCTCCTATAGTACCTCCAATACCTTGAATATGTATTAATTATGTAGGTTTGTCCAATGCAAGTGAGCCAATTGGCTCCCAGAACACAACCTCCCATTCTGATTTCAGACAGTTAGATGGGCATTATATTAAAATAAAATATTAAAACATACTCACCTCAATGCTGCAGCGTCGGGGTGATGCTGCAGCTGTCCTATATCTGTTCTAAGACTGAGAAATTACATGACTGCTCAGTTCTCGGTCTTCCCAGAGCAGAGAGCAGTGACGGTCACCACTCTCTGTTCTGCTTCTCCAGGCTGGGGAAGGAACAGGGAAAGCTGGCTACAGGTCTCAGCAGCAGGCAACTGAATGTATCTCAACAATATAGTTGGGATCCTTCCAGAGCCTGGAGTGGCTCTGTGATGTCAGCTAAAATCCCACGTTTGGCTGATTCTGGGTCTCAGGAGTGCAAAAGTAAGTGCACTCTTGTGACCCACAAGAGAAGTATGGCCAAAAATCTTAGGCTTTACTTCTCTTCAAAAACTTATTTAAGACTTGCATTGAAAAGCTTTTGTTCACTTGAAATAGGTGTTGTATTTCTTCACAAATCTGTGAGAATGTAAAACTTGCTTGAAGCAGGACAATTGCAGATCAAGAGGAGGTCAGCTGCACCTGTTGATGAATTCTGAATTACTTCAGAAGCATCTTAAACTGATGCCATCGACACTAGACTTAACAGTAAAAATACATCAGGAATGATAGGTGTTTTTAATATGTGACTGGGTTTGTACTTACATTTAATTACGGGGACTAAATGCAGTGTTTTATTTTTTTTAGGAGTTAAAGTTCTAAAAGTAGGTAATGTACTGAATCAGTTAGGTGCAAAGTAAGTCCTCATGTACACTGGACATTTTTTACAGTGGCTGTTTTTGGATTTTGGCATTTTTTTCTACAGCCAGTAAACTCCCCAGCATGTTATCCTATGTGTCCATACACACATAGACTATAATCAACTTTTTATGGCTGGAAAAAAAAACCCAGAACTAGTGGGTTTCTATGAGTTTTTTAGCTGTAAAAATGCTCTAACGCTGAAAAACGCGGTAAAACATGGTAAATCGCAGCGTGCCAGTGTTTTTGGACTTTTTTTGACCAAAAAAACTTTGGTAAGATAAAAATTAAAAAAAAAACGCAGCTAAACACTAATACAAAAACGCTAAAAAAATGCTGAAAAACTCATGTTTTTAACGTGACTTGACACAGGTAACGTTACCAGCGTTAGTAAAACGCCCAATGTGCATGGAGCCTAAAGGAAGACTTCTGTTTGGCATTTGGGGTATTTGCTGTAGAAAATGCAACATTGCTATATTTGACTGAAAGAATAATTTTTAACTGGAAAATGTAATTGTAATTCTAGAGTCCTAAGAAGTGCTAAAAAACATGTTCTACTTTACATATGCATCTGTATGAATCAGTGTGAAGTGTTTTTACTAAGCAGTGAAAATGAACTATATAACATTAAATAAAATGGGCAGCTGACATATTGAGAAAATGCTGGCTTTATATTGGCTGAATGAATGAGAAATAAAATATTACTTTTTTGACTGTGTAACTCAAGTTACAACCCGTAACATGAAGGAAGGTTTGAATGATGATACTAGCATTAAATACAGTTTATATTTTAAGTTATTAAAGATAATATTTCTTGAGTTTGTGTACATGTGCAACGCTTTAATGCCACTATTGTAGTAGTTCCTGCCACTGAACAAAGCACATACTTTTTACTGAGCCAAATCTCAGGTGTGGAATGGAGGTGTGGTTTTGCTAGACAGAAATGTCATTTGTGATGTTATGTCTATATTTTGGTCTATATTATGTATCTAATTCTGCTCCTTTTCTCTTTATAAAGGTGGAACTCTCCAGCAATGCTGTTTTGCACCAGATGAGACGGGATCAGGTCACAGATATGTGTCGAGCCAACAATGTGTTAGGAAGGAAACGCCGTGTACTAACTCCTAATGACCTGAAACACTTGGTGGTTGATGAATATCATGAGCTGATTTACTGTTATGTGCCAAAAGTGGCATGTACCAACTGGAAGAGGGTAATGATGGTCCTTACAGGAAGAGGTAAATACAGTGATCCCATGGAAATACCGGCAAATGTGGCTCATGTCTCCTCCAACCTCAAAACCCTTAACCAGTATAGCATTCCAGAGATCAACCATCGCTTGAAAAATTTCATGAAGTTCCTATTTGTTCGTGAACCTTTTGAGAGATTAGTTTCAGCCTACAGAAATAAATTTACCCAAAAATACAACACGTCCTTCCACAAACGCTATGGCACCAAAATAATAAGGCGGCAGCGGAAAAATGCCACCCAGGAAGCACTACTTAATGGCAGCGATGTCAAATTTGAGGAGTTTGTTGCTTATCTTATTGATCCACACACCCAAAAAGAAGAGCCCTTTAATGAGCACTGGCAAAACAGTTTTTTCTCTCTGCCACCCATGCCATATCCATTATGATCTCATAGGAAAATACGAAACCTTAGAAGAAGATTCTAATTATGTCTTGCAACTGGCAGGAGTGGGTAACTATCTGAAATTTCCCACTTTTGCCAAGTCTACCAGAACTACTGATGAAATGACAGCAGAATTTTTCCAAAACATCAGTTCAGAGCACCAAACTCAACTGTATGAGGTCTACAAACTGGATTACTTAATGTTCAACTACTCAACTCCAGCCTACCTAAACTAGAATAAAAGTCCATCCATGTCTGGCAAAGGATTTTCTTCAAGCGTGAACAGAGGGTCATTTTGTAAATTCATGGCAGGCTGAAGTGGGGTTAGGGTGGGAGGGATGATAGTGATTTATTTGTACTGCGAGCAGTGCAAACAAAATAATTTAAATTTCTTCATAAAGAAAGACTGCTCTCTTTAGAGTAAGAGGAATCTAAGCTAGTCTGAAGACACGCAAACTACTACTATGCTGTTCTCAAGTTCCGTGGCGCCTTCATGCTCTATGTAAATTGTCTATAAATTATTTATAGTTATTTAAACTATGTCTCTTGATCTGATTAAGTCTATTGTATGTCTATAAATATATATATAGATATATCTGTGTATATCTATATATAATATATTTGTATGTGTGTGTATATACATATATGTACATATGTACATATCTTCAGAGCCAAATATTAACAAATTTCAAATCCATGCTGATCCATTTAGTAATGAATTTACTATTGTCATTGGATTTACATGACCATTTTCAAAAGCTAAAACGTGTGTGTTTAGCCTTGTATACAGAATGAATATATAGTTTTATTTTGAATAGCAAACAAGTAACATTGTGTTATCTAATACATGGTGTTAATAACACTGCCCTTTTGGATTCTGTGCTTTTTTGTCAGTAATTTATTTTGTGAAGTTTAAAAATTCATACTTGGTTTATATGTTTATAATCAGGTATACATGTTTAAGAGTTCAAATTGCATAGATCCAAAAAGGCATTTCCAAATAGGTCCATTCTGATTGGTAATCATTGCAAATACATATAAAATGCAAATGTAATATGTAGTGATACCTCTTTTGTTTACAGTTTAAATAATGGACATGTAGATAATGCAGTGAACATATGGATCGCTTGGTCAAATTTAGTGTTGATACAGAATACTTGCCTTGTTCTGTAAGCCGTGGTCAAGGCTTCTTTTGGTGTAGTTAAAGATTAAGGTGTCCTTTCTCCGAGATGTGCTATCAGGTAATTTTGGATTTGTTCCTTGTATTTCAACATAGTAATTATGCAAAAATTGACATTTATTAAGTGCAATTTGTATCCAGGTGCTGCATATAACAGAGCTTTACCCCCATAAATGTATTTTGGTGCCAGTTAGTTTACATCTTTGTTAGGAGTTATAATGTTCCAAGAAAGGACTGTTATAGCAGTGTAAAATTCAGGAGGCTAAGTATAATATTAGTAGTGTAAATCTCCAGAAGTTGGAGGAAAATAGGCACTATGCGAATCTGTGGGAAATAGGCATTAGAAGGAGTACATTTTCAGCAGGTTGGACTTAGAGAAATAGAATTCAAGAAGAAAGGAAGGGCATAGTATTTGTATTATGTAAAATTTCAAGAGAAATTCCACAATATTAACTACATGAAACTTCAAGAGGATAGGCATAGTAGTCACTATGTAAAGCTCCATAGGATAGGAAAACTGCCAATGGTGGGTTATAGTAAAAGTTGTTTAAATTCATAGCATAGGACCATGTAGTTGGTAGAGCATTTTCTACATAAAACAGGGACATAGTTAGACCTATACCTTTTTTAGACAAGTGCACTTTTTAAAAAATAAATGTGCTCCTTTAAAATACCCAGAAAGATGAAACATGTTTTCAGATAGATATTTTACATTTTCCCTTCTTTTGTAATGGTCATCAAGGGTCCTCCAGGTTTAAAGTGGAAGGCCAGTCAAATACTATCTAAGCTTAAATCTGCTCCCACCCCCATTCTAAGACTTATATAACTACCCTGTAAAGACAAGATGCCTATACTTACCTGATCTGAGGGTATTCCAGTCTGGTCACATGATCAGCTCCCAGTGCTGGCTTAAGTGCAGAGGGACAGCTGACAACAGATGCACCATAGTAAGTCTATGGGTGATATTGCTGCATAGGCATTGCAGCTGTTGTCAGTGTTCTCGTTATGAAGCTGGATACTGGGAAGATCACGTGACTGGACTGGAGTGCCTTCAGAATAGGTAAGTGTAAGCATCTTTCCTTTACAGGATAGCTAGTACCGTGTTTCCCCCAAAATAAGACACTGTCTTTTATTTATTTTGGCTAAAAAAAAAAAACACACTAGGTCTTATTTTTGAGGTAGGTCTTATTTTTTTAATGTCCAGGTGTGGACAGGGAGCTGCAGGCAGTTGTGGATGAGGGTTACTATGGAGAGGGCCGGACGATGACAGTTGTGAGCTGCAGTCAGGTGTTGCAGAGGTAAATTGACAGGTGAGTTTCAGACAGGGTGCAGAGATGAGCCACAGACATGGTGCAGGGGTGAGTTACAGACAGGGTGCAGGGGTGAGTTACAGACAGGGTGCAGGGGTGAGTTACAGACAAGCTGCAGGGGTGAGTTTCGGACAGAAGACGCAGGGGTGAGTTGCGGATAGGGGATGCAGAGGTGAGCTGTGGTTGGGGGAGTGCAGAGTCAAGCTGTGGCCAGGGGGTGCAGAGCTGAGCTGTGGCTAGGGGGTGGAGAGGTGGGTTGCAACTCAGCTCATCTCTGCACCCCCCCATCCTCAGCTCACCTATGCACCCTGTCTGCAACTCACCTGTCAATTTACCTCTGCAACACCTGACTGCAGCTCACCTTTGCACATCCCCCTCCAATGCCCTCATATGGTTAGCTAGCTTTGCAAAACACAGCTGTCAGCAGCTGGTCCCTCTCTATAGTAACTCCCGTTTTGGGTCCTATTTCCCCACACAGTGCACCAAGCGCACTCACTCACCGCTCCACCTCTTCCCCACTGGATGGTGATCACTCCTGGGGCATCAGCTTCCATGCATTAGGCTGCAGAATAAGATGCCTTGCCCATAAACACACTGCGACCGCAGATATCTGTTCCTTCCCTGTCCCACAGTGAGTACAGAGGTAGGGAAATTCCAAGGGAGCGTATGGTGCTGCCACTTACAAGAGGGACTGTCACAAGAGGGACTGCCACTTGCAAACACAAAAGCTGCACCTCTGTGTTTATAAGAGACAGTAGATATTGGTGTGCACAGGGCCAGTGCCGGAGGTGGTGGAACAGCATCCTGCCACATTCTGGCTGAAAAAAAGCCCTGATCACAACTAGGTCTTATTTTTGGGGTAGTTCTTATACTTTAGATATTCTAAAAAATAGTACAAGGTCTTATTTTCGGGGTAAGTATAGGGCTTAGAATGGGGGTGGGAGCAGGTTTAAGCTTTGATAGTATTTGACTGGACTTGTCTCTATATGTGCATGTTCATGCAGGAGGCTTTTAGCGTTGTATATAAGAAGACATCCCAGTCTAGCTTACATCTGGCTGGCAGGAATCATCTAGGATGAGCTCAGCTAAAGTCAATACCAAGCATGCTGTCTGCAGTTTCTCTGCAACTGCCTTTTATTCTGAGAAATGTTTAAGGGTCCTGATATTGAAGGTCTCAAATCAGCTGGGTGTGAGGAGCAACATATATAAAGTTTCTTATTATCCACATGTGCACTTATCCTTTAAAAGACTAGATGGCAGCAAATAATAGGCATTATATGAAAGGCCAGGGGGTGAGCCTTACATGGCATTCTGTAAATTCCAGGTGGAGGGTTTAGGTAGAATCAATGTTCTTCTCATCATTAGCTTTATAAGGTAACATGAAAATATACTGATAACTATTCAGTAGTTGTCATTTTCAAACCATCTTGTGGTTGTATTACCTGTGTTTCTTTAAAAGAGCCACCTCTTTTTTGCCTTAAAGCAATATTAAACCCAAAATCCAAAATTGAATGTATTGCAGCTTACCATTTCTTAGATGTGGCGGCTGCATTCGTTTCCTGTTTTGGCATGTTGCCTTTATTTTCACCTGGAGACCCAACCAATACGTCTGTTATTTTTCAACTTTCTTTAACAGACCAAGCTGTCCAGCAAAAGCAGCAGTTAGAGGGTTGAGACACACCATTTAATGCTGACAGGGGTGCTTACAATTGTCAGATTTGATTCATTTATATACATTCTTTATAGCCAAAGGAAAAAAATTGTTGCTGTAACTGCTTAAAAAGTGTTATCTGGAGTTCAGCTTTAAGTTATTAGTCAAGTCCATATAAATCTGCTAGTCCATCTAACACTCGCCTGGTTGACAATGCGGCTGCCCAAGGGTAGCTCCTTTGCTCCTACATAGAATGGAGCCACCCTATACAGGAAGAGTACTACCGGCCAGATCACTGTGTGAAAGTAGAGGGAAAAAGCCTAAAAAAAAAAGAAAACATGCAGCTACTACATTTAAGGATTAAGGATTACATTTTTGTTTTTTGGTGTATTACTGCTTTAAGGTTTACCAACATGTAACTGGCAGAACTGGGGTACCCAGCTTTATGATGCTACCAGTGTTATACCTTTTAATACCAGCCTTACTTACAATTCCTAACCACCTGACACAGCACATGAGAATGACAGAATTCCAGTTCTAACACACAATACCCTGGATTGGTTTGCCTTTTAAATATGTCTGAAAACTAAAACAACACATCCATATTAAGTGCCACATTGTTCTATCTTGACATGAATTTTGTAAATGTCTTTGAATTCCAAGATGCCTGGTCAAAACATCATCTGTTTCCCATTATTTACATGCAATAACTGATACAGAATACCATTAATCTCAGTAACAGGAATAACTGTGTATATAAGTGAAGGCTTGTTATATTATTTGTATGTTTTCTGGCAAGTCCTACAATTTATTGCAGTCCAGCTGCAAGCAAAGAGACAGCCTGCACCTCAGCCCCACTGGGCTTTGTATTGTCTTCCTGCTGGTCAGTAAATGCTTAGTTCCTTTGCTTTATTTTGTCCTTTTTGTTGTTCACAGATCATCATGTGATTCTAGATAATAAAGAGCCATTGACGCTGTTACTTGTTCCCTCTGAAGTGAGGCTGTGCTGTCCATATTGTTGTACATAATGTTGTTCTATAGACTTTTTTTTTTTCTGGCTTTGGGTCTTTGCATCACATTGCAGAGCAACGTTTTGCATG